AGTACATCGTAAACCCTAACCTTAAACCCTAATCCCTAAAACCTAAACCCTCAACCCTAAACCCTAAACCCTAAACCCTAAACCCTAAACCCTAAACCCTAAACCCTAAACCCTAAACCCTAACCCCGAATCTTTTTGGCTGTGCCGCAGGCGAACCGGACGATGCCGGGCCCTCACGGAGTCGGTTTCTTTCTCCCAGAGGCTGTTTTCTGGGTGGCCTTTTGGGATCTTTTTTATTTTCCCTTACTATTTTGCAGAGAACCATAATTGTAAATAATTTTCAAAGGGCTTAACGGACAGCTTAGTTTTATTTTGTGGATAATATGGGGGGCCTTAATAGTTACCTATAGTATTTAGGGTTTAAGGGTTTTGAGGTTTTGGGATGGCTCCTTAGTATAATTATAATATAATGGGCCCCATAACCCCATTCTAATTCTTAAGGCCCCTATTTTAGGCTGGGAATGTTTCATTACAGGGTACGCTTGAAGTGAACCGTTTGCGGTTTGAAAGGTGGTTGCAAGAAGAAGCATCCTCAAGAGGCATGTCATTCAAAAACAGCCCATCCATAATATAGGCGCCTAAATAAGTATACTATTTTGGGGGCTCCTTATTACAATTATAATATAATCTACCCAAAGCTCTATTCTAACTATTCATGCCCCCCAATATTACAGTGTCGGAGATTGGTATCACGACCATGCTTTTAAAGGGGCTTCAGCTGGACCGCCCGAAAAAGATTCTGATTTGACGCATTTGTGTCGATCCTTCGGGTGTGCTTGTTATGTGGATGCACGGCATCTAGAGCCGCCTGAGTTTCTCTCTGTGCATGTCTCTGTATTTTTTGTTTGGCTGTCAGTGCCTTTGTCGTTGCAGCTCGATCTCACTGCCTATAAGATGTGTCTCGTTGATACGGTCATGAGTTGATTCGTGAAAAGGTTCTGGTGCATGAAAGCTTCTATACCTGCAAAACCGAAGCCCTAAACCCCAAATCCGCAACCCTAAACCCTGAACCCTGGAGGTGTGCTTTTTGTTTTCCCCTGTGGGGATCTTCAGTGTAAGTCTCGGTCTGAGGCAGGCTGGATCGCACAGAAAAGGCCACTACACTTTAAAAAAGAAACCCTGGACCCTCCCTAAACCCGAAAACCCGAAACCCTGAACCTCAAACCCTAAATCCTAAACCCTAAACCCTAAACCCTAAACCCTAAACCCTAAACCAAAAAACAACCTGAACCCTCAACCGCCGGTAAGGTCTCCAAGACATGGAAGCTGAAGCCAAAGAAGGAGGTCGAGGGTTTTTCTGCCCTTCCGGGCTCGGGCTGCGCCCTTTTGGGAGGATGTGGGTACTGCTCCAAATTTGGGTCCCTTTGGGTTCAGGGTTTAGGGTCCTTTTTAGAAGGGTGCCGTACTATGTTGGGTTTAGGGTTTAGGGTTTAGGGTCCCTTTGGGTTTAGGGTTTAGGGTCCTTTTTGTAAGGGTGCCGTGCTATGTTGGGGAACTTACCATATAGTATGTTGTAGTACATTGTAATGTACAAACGGTACTAACGTATACGAAAGTATACTCGGGTATGTGATCGTATATATTATAGTACAATGTAGTCAGACAGTAGTATAATGTAGCATACTACTATATTTTTTGAAATGTCGCATAGTTTACTTAATAGTATATTTGAGTGCATTATCGTATATTATGTAGACATGGGGCTCCTTGCCAAATGTCAGAAAGAATCGCAAAAAACCGCTGAATGCCAAGCCCTGAAGAGTCAAGCAAGGCCACCGCGACTAGGCTCTCCGCAATATCTATATACTCTGATATAGTACACTATACCACAATTTAATACTATATACTGTGGTATGCTATAAGAAGTAAGTAACCGACAACCCCTACTTTTGGTTCCATAAGGGCACAATAATAAGGGTGTAGCCTAAGCCTCACTCCCCAGTTCAGTTTGGCCAGCCCAAGCTTTCCGCACATCCACTGTTCCAAGCAATACGGTTGATGATATGAATCCTGCATTGCCTTAAGGACCCTAAACTATGGCATTGTGTGTACTGCAGGATTTATATAACCCATAACCCTAAGCCCTAAGCCCTAAACCCTAAACCATAAACGGTACTGCAGGATTTACATTATCAACCATAGCACCAAATCTCCAACCCACGCTATACCGTTGATCCCAGACGACCTGCAGGTGTAGAGTGGATTTGTATAGGGTCCTCTAGGGTTTTGTTGGGTTTAGGGTTTAGCAGTGGAGCTCTACTGGCTTGGTCAGATCCCTGGCGAGGCATCCCATCCCGAAGGGGGAAGCTGGCAAATTTGGTTTTCGGTGTCCGTTTATCGTCTGAAACTCCCGCGTTTTTGTCTGAAGAACCGCCACCGTTGGTTTCTTTCATGAGATGAAACGGCAGGCAAAACTGCATCACTGCTTCCACCTTCATGCCCAGATCCACCAGTTAGATTCAGATCATGAGCTCCACAACCAACCCACCCAAGTCCTGAACCACATACCCCGAACGCGAAAAGCCGATTGAGCCTCATAACTGTGGACGCGGGCGGTGTAGAAACGCCAACAACGACAAGAATAGACAATAATAGATGACGCATAATTTTCAATTTCTCAATCACCGCCAATTTCAGAAATTACCAGTATTATTTCTGAGAGTCCTTATTATATGTATACTCATAGGAGTACTTCCTAAGATAAAACCCTACTTTCTACCTAATGTGGAAACCCTGCTTTCTACTGTGACGGTACGTAGGACCCCTTGGGGACTGGCCTAAGCTCTCTGTCCCGTCCGGGAGAGCCGGAAACCCCTAAACCCTAAACCATAAACTTTAAAATCTAAATCCTAAACCCTAAAATCCAAATCCTAAACCTTAAAATTTAAATCCCAAACCCTAAATCCTAAATCCTAAATCCTAAACTCTAAATCCTAAAGCCTATCCTCCAAATCCTCAACCCTAACCTCAGCCTTCTGTCAGGGCGAGCCGGAGAAGTTGACCCCCGAGGTGTGCGTTTTCTCCGGCTGCAACGTGACGAACGGCAAGGCGGCTCTTCTGGGTTACTGGGCCTTTAGGGTTTAGGGTTTAGGGTCTAGGGTTTAGGGTCTAGGGTTTAGGGTTTAGGGTTTAGGGTCTAGGGTTTAGGGTTTAGGGTTTAGGCTTTGAGCCTGACTTCGGTTTATGCTTTATTATCTTACATCACACTGTATAATACCAGATAACATGATAATATATTTCAGTCTTATGCTATGTTATATCATCTTACACTATACCGTATCAAAGTATGTCAGATTCTATTTTTGTATTTTTTATGTTAGCAAACGGGTTTCGATACACACCATGGCATTGTGATTCACCCCCCTCTTTCGGCTCCGGGGTATGGCGGAGGGTCTACGAGGCATTCCGGGTGCAGGCTTCAGGGTTGACGGGTTCTGCGTCGGCGTATCTGGGTTCGGGCGGTGATAACTTCAGATTCATGTTTTTTGCTGTTGGGGGCCGGGAGGTGCATCCGAGCCCGCCCCATCCGGAGTTTTGAGCAAAGCAGGGACAGACAGCCCAATCGTCGTTGATTAAAGAAGATCCTTGAAGCTCCAGTCGGGCAGGAGCTTCCATCTTAATTCATCTTGGTGTTTCTCCTGCTGCGACTGCGACTACCAGCAGCAGCACCACCACTTGCGACTGCGACTGCGACTACGACGACGACGACGACGACGACTGCTGCTACTGCCACTGCTACTGCCACTGTTACTGCTACTGCTACCACTACTATGACTGCTACTGGTCCTACTGCTACTACTACTACTGCTACTACTACTACTACTACTACTACTGCTGCTACCACCACTGCTACTACTAGTACGACGACGACTACTACCACTACCACTACTACCACTACTACCACTACTACCACTACTACCACTACTACCGCTACTACCACTACTACCACTACTACCACTACTACCACTACTACCACTACTACCACTACTACCACTACCACCAC